GTATGGATCACTTGGGTTGTTACCGACATCTGGTGAACGTTTCATGTCATTAGCACCTCTAGTAATATATTTACTGAAAAAAATGGTGACGTGTTCAATACTTATGTGCAGGCTCATTATTTCATACCATGTATTGCAGTTCTGGGAGATTGTAGACCCTGGAGGGAAATGTTGTCCCATGTGTGCACAGGAGCACTGAGAAACCTCCACACAGCGATTACCATCTAAAACCTTCCCACCTGAAACACATACATGCAAAGTTAAGAACAGGAACCCTACAACAGAGAGGAGAGTAAGAAGGGTGAAGGCTTACTGGGACATGTGCAGCCATCCATACACTCTTCTTTGCAGACCTCCTGTATGTTGAGACTGTGGCAGGTTGTAGAGCAGGACTTGGTGCATTCACTGTACTGCATGCCGATTGGACACTTGGGAACTGCAGATTGAAAACCACATTTCCTGATGTCACTTTAAACCCCCTTTTACCGCTGCTCCTAAGGATCTGCTAAACTCACAGCACTGGCTCTCCTCCAGCCAACCGCGCAGCAGCAGCCCATGAGCGTGGCATGTGCGAGCATACTCCAGCAGGACTGGACAGTAACAGTCTTCTGCAGCCTTCTGCTCACAGTAGCAGGCCTCCCTCTGACACAGCAGCAGGAATGCCTCAGGAGAGACCAAGTGGGCACAGCGGAGGAACAAGCTGGAGGTCTGCAACACACTGCAGCTGGACAAGATCTACACAGAAACACGTGCAAAAGTATGGGTTAAACTGGAAGTGAGGACATTGTAGTAGTTGGTAAGTCCAGACCTTATGTGTTTGTTCTGTTGCAAATACTCTGATAAAACAATTCAGAAACCTCAGCAAAACTAGACGGGTTGAAAAATATGACCCAAACCGAATATAAAGATATCTACACAGCACCGGGAGAGACTAAATTCAACTTTTCTGCACTCCTAGAGACTTCACATACACAACTAAATGTATTTAACAACTAAAAAAAGTCCCCTTTAAGGGCACACAATCCCAACAAAAAGCTGTTTGTCAGGTTTTTTTTTTTTTTTTCAAAAGTGGTTTGAGCAATATATTATCTTGGTTTGACATAGAAAATCATCCACACTGGTTGTATCTGTGACCTAACCAATCTATTTAAAAATCCTGTCCAAGTAATCTGTATATATATGGAAGTCCATTAAATATATATTGTGACTACATCAAACACATACCATATTGTTACAAAAATTAGAAGGCAAAAGTTTTTAGATTTTTTGTGTATGCTTTGCACTTTTTCAATTAAAAGTTAAAAAGTGGTTTTTAATAAGAAGCACTGGCTATTACAATTGCATTTCTATTAAAATAAAAGTTTAAATGTACAGTGGTTTGCAAAAGTATTCATACCCCTTGAACTTTTCCATATTTTGTCACATTACAACCACAAACATAAATATATTTCACTGGAATTTAATGTGAAAGACCAACACAAAGTGGTATACAATTGTGAAGTGGAAGCAAAATTTTACATGAATCAAAACATTTTTTACAAATAAAAAACTGAAAAGTGCGATGTGCAAAATTATTCAGCCCCCCTGAGTCAATACTTTGTGGAGCCACCTTTTGCTGCAATTACAGCTGCAAGTCTTTTAGGGTATGTCTCCACCAGCTTTGCACATCTAGTGACTGCAATTCTTGCCCATTCCTCCTTGCAAAACAGCTCAAGCTCAGTCAGATTGGATGGAGAGCGTTTGTGAACAGCAGTTTTGAGATCTTGCCACAAATTCTCAATTGGGTTTAGGTCTGGACTTTGACTGGGCCATTCTAACACATGAACATTCTTTTTTTTAAACCACTCCATTGTAGCTTTGGCTTTATGTTTAGGGTCGTTGTCCTGCTGGAAGGTGAACCTCCACCCCAGTCTCAAATCTTTTGCTGACTCCAACAGGTTTTCTTCCAAGATTGCCCTGTATTTGGCTCCATCCATCTTCCCATCAACTTTGACCAACTTCCCGGTCCCTGCTGAAGAGAAGCACCCCCAGAGCATGATGCTGCCACCACCATATTTGACAGTGGGGATGGTGTTTTCAGAGTGATGTGCAGTGTTCTTTCTCCGCCACACATAGCGTTTTGCATTGTGGCCAAAAAGTTCAATTTTGGTCTCGTCTGACCAAAGCACCTTCTTCCACATGTTTGCTGTGTCCTCAACATGGCTTCTGGCAAACTGCAAACGGGACTTCTTATGGTTTTCTTTTAACAATGGCTTTCTCCTTGCCACTCTTCCATAAAGACCACATTTGTGTAGTGCACGACTAATTGTTGTCCTGTGGACAGTTTCCCCCACCTGAGCTGTGGCTCTCTGCATTTCATCCAGAGTCACCATGGGCCTCTTGGCTGCCTCTCTGATCAGTGATCTCCTTGTTCGGCCTGTAAGTTTAGGTGGACGGCCTTGTCTTGGCAGGTTTACTGTGGTGCCATACTCTTTCCATTTCCGGATGATGGATTGAACAGTGCTCCGTGAGATGTTCAAAGCTTGGGAAATCTTTTTATAACCTAAGCCTGCTTTAAACTTCTCCAAAACCATATTCCTAACCTGTCTGGTGTGTTCTTTGGACTTCATGATGCTGTTTGCTCCCCAATATTCTCTTAACCAACATCTGAGGCCGTCACGGAGCAGCTGTATTTGTACTGAGATTAGATTACACACAGGTGGACCCTTTTGAGTCATTAGCAGTCATCAGGCAACTTCTGAATGCAATTGGTTGCACTCAGGGAAAAGGGGGCTGAATACTTTTGCACGTCGCACTTTTCAGTTTTTTATTTGTAAAAAATGTTTTGATTCATGTAAAATTTTGCTTCCACTTCACAATTGTATACCACTTTGTGTTGGTCTTTCACATTAAATTCCAGTGAAATATATTTATGTTTGTGGTTGTAATGTGACAAAATATGGAAAAGTTCAAGGGGTATGAATACTTTTGCAAACCACTGTAATATCAAAACAAGCACTGGAAAAAAGAAGTACTTCATGAAGTGACAAGCTGTGGTTTTAATGGTTAGATAAAGCACAGGTGATGGGAGATAAGGTACTGTCAAGCCTTTTTTCCTGGTAATTTCATTGTCCTTTCTTTTCAAAAGCTTGTCTGTATACATCAAATAGAGCATAAAGACATATTTAAAAGTGCTTAAAATGTATATTTGTACATGTAAGTTTTTACCTCTGTTGTGCCTTTTGTGCTGTTACAGGAATGGGTGGGATTAGAAACCCGTCGACAAGACTGAGCCGCTCCCTTCACAGCCCATGAATTTGCAAAATCATAACTGTCTTCTGTTAGAAATCCTGAAAGTGCGCACACACACAACCAAACACACACAAATGAGTTGACAGATTTTCCACTTAATCTCATCCTACCACAAATGTCTTTTGCTTTCTTTCTCTTTGTTATCTTTTCCTGCACTGAGTAGCTACTCTTCCTGTTGCTGAGGGCTTGTGACTCAAATCGTTTCCCAGATTCCTGTGAACTCTCCCAGGTCCATTGTTCAAACTCTCACATAACAAGCGTTGATGCGCATACCTTCCTGAGCGGTGTATTCATCAGTTGAGATCGCGTTGAAGTTGCCACAGAGGCCGCAGGTGCGATTGGTGTGGCGTTTGGCCAGCGTCAAGGCGATGTTGGCTGCATTATCGATGGTGACGGTGAAGCCAAACTCCTCGCTCCAGAGTTTATAAAAACCGAGCTCTGACCCCGCAAACACAGCATGAGATGCATAAGGCAAAGACAACCTGCAAGAGAAATGACATAAAATAAAGTAATAGTCTTTATGAATCCACTCAAACTTTAAGATTTTTGGAACTTCCTGTTTTGTTTACATTTTTTCTCCTTGTGAAAGTCGTCCATCTGCAGATAGGTGCAACTCAAAGGCATCGCCCAGAAACAATGTGACCCCTGTTCTTTTGCCATCGTGAAAGTCACCTGTAGGCCCAAAGCACAGTTTTGAAACAAGACTAAAATGAAAAAAAAAAAAAGCATCTGATCTTTTATATGGCTTCAGTATAACAGTGGCTTTGCCCTGGACTACAGATAGAAGCATGACATTCAACAGGAGATTAATTTAAAGCTGTGGGTTTGTGTATGACTCACCCAGCAGAGTGAAGGAGCGATGGTTACAGTCCCCAGCCAGAAGGTAGCTGCAAACTCCAGGAAACTCGTACAAAACTCCGTCAAAGGTGTGAATGTGATGTCGTCCGAACAGACTGCATCGCCCCGTTATTCCTGCTACGCAAGCTGGACACACACCAATATCTAAATGAGTGTAAAAGTAAGACTAAACAGGATCTTGAACAAAACATTGCAGGCTAAAACTCAAGAAAAATGTCACTGCTGAGAGTTACAGATGATAGCGTTCACCTGTTAGATGCAGGAAGACACAAACTGTTTTCAGATACCTCTTCAAACACACCTGAAATGTGCACATATATGTAAACACAGTGATGCATAAACTATCTGTTACTGTGTGCTAAAAAACAAACTTAGATCTCCAAACTCCCAAAAATCCTACCTCCATGGCTCCAAAGTCCAGAAAACGGCAAAAAAAGAAACACTCAGAAAAATCCAAAAATCCACATTTGGACCTCACATAACCAATGGATTAAGGGGTCAGGTCTAACATTTTCTAAACCTGTGCATACAGATCTAAAGCCGCACTGGAAGCTCTATTTTATATCACACCCTGAACCCCCTCTACCCCGCCCTGCTGTCAAGCAGTTTCCCAAGGGCTCTCCCCTCAGCAGGTTATGTCAAGACACCGTATCGTTCTGGTATCAGAGTATCATTCTGTCCACAGCTCGGTGCCTGCAGACTGACACCGTCAAACACAGTCGGCAAGACAATGCCAGGATGTGCCCACTGATCGCCCGGCTGAGTGATTAGTCTACACCAGTGTATCTGCATCGGCGCCAAGCCAAACAGTTCTTGTGGAAAACATTCTAACCAGAGAAATGTCACGCAACAACACGTCCGTGCCACATAAATGACACACACTAACCCAAAACTGCTCTCACACACACATATAACTACTGAGAACAAGCGCTGACCAACATAGATGAAAAAGGATGTGATCATCAAAAAATACAATTAAATTGTCAAAATCTTTAAAAAAAAACTTTGCTTTTTCCTAATATTTATATTATTTATCCAACTATGTGATTTGTGTATAAACTGTAGTTTGGTTCTGCTGTAAAAACTAGATGTACTATCATAGGGGTCAAAATTTAGCTATTTCAGGCCTCTGCAAACTTTTTGATCAAAAGACCCATTTTCTACATAAATATCAGTTTTTGGTGGTAATGTACAACTTTAATAAGTTCAGTTAGTACTTTATTTTAAATGTTTTATTTTTTGGTTTTATGCTCTCTATATCTGATGTATTTGATTTATAGTGTTGTCTTTTGTTGTTGTGTAGATCACTTCAGTCAGCTCTGATTGTTGTTTTAAAAAGGCCCTCGGAATAAAACTGTTTGGATTTAGACTGACTCAGTGATGTTGACAGAAGGCTCGTGCTATCTTGATTAGCTCGAATAAGTGAAGCTTGACTCATTATCCGACACATTAAGTGAAAGTAAATAAAAGGGTTGAGTACACCATCAAAAATCGAATCATTGTTTTACTTTTGGGGCTTTCAGCTTTTGCTTATTTTAACAAGAACTTTGGTAATTGCTACTTTACATAGTATTTCATTACTTTTAGCTTTTAGCTAGTGTTTTATTTCATTTAAGTAATATTTTGCTATTATTAGCTAATGTGTCGAATGTTTCGGGTTTTTAGCTAATTGCTTCATTTGTCTTTTAGTTAGTGTCCTTTTTAACTAGTATTTTGCTACTTTTAAAAAGTATTTTGTTACTTTTAGCTAGTATTTTGTTGTTTTTAGGATTTATAGTGTTTTCACAGCTGTTGAGCTAATTTTAGCGTTTTGGTAGTGCTCCACTTGTTTTGGCTTTTAGTGTTTTTGTATTTCGCTATTTTTAGCTGTTTGCTTGCTTGGGCTTTTTACTAATGTTTTGAATCTTTTGTATTTTAGCTAGCGCTTTGCTCTTATTTACGGAAGCCGAGAGCAGCTGTTTACTGCATATACTTTTTTACCATGGTTTTCTTGTGATAGTGGTAAAAATGGTAAATGGCTTGAACTTATATAGCGCCTTATCAAGTCCACTTTGACCCCAAGGCGCTTTACACTTCAGACATTCACACACACACACACACACACACACACACACATTCACTTACTGATGGCAGTAAGCTACATTGTAGCCACAGCTGCCCTGGGGCACACTGACAGAGGCGGAGCTGCCATGCACTGGTGCCACTGGACCATCTGACCACCATCAGTAAGCAAGGCAGGTGAAGTGTCTTTCTTGCCCAAGGACACAACGATTGACACGTCTGGACAGGGGATCGAACCGGCGACCTTCTGGTTCCAGGACTAACCACTCCACCACAGCCGCTCTAATAATGACATATTACGCCGTTAACACGAAATAACGAGGACCGTTTCCTCAAGATAAGTTAATTTTCCAAGATGACGAGTTCTGGTTTTCTTGTGCATCATTCAGTAATCGTGAAGACGGCCCGATCCCCTCAGCTGGTCAACGATAAAGTTTTTTATTAAATCAGCTGGATCACTGTGTAAATGCCTGTTGATCTGCAGTCGGGCCAGCTGTCTCCTTAAATGACGAGAGCTGATATGAAAGTTATCTGTACAAGAAAAAACAAACTGCAATTTCAGCCTGTGTAATGATACAAAAACGATACAAAATTATAAACGCTAGACTGCCTTCAGGCCCAGGCTGCTGTTGTAAAAGAGAAAATCCCATTGAGATCGCAGATCTCGATTGGGATTTTCCAGGTTAAATAATGGTGAGTAAGTAGGTAAGTAAGTAAATCAATAGTAAACTTCATAGACGAGCTGAGGGGACCAAGCCCTCTCCATGGTTACTGAATGAGGCTCAAAAGGAAAACCATCAGGAAATTAACTTTCTCGAGAAAACCATTGAGAAATTAACTCATTATATGCAGAAAATGGCCTCTCTCAGTTTCCACATCTACGTATTTGCTAATGTTCTTGTAACCTAGTTTCAGATTTCAGCAGTCACTCAGCCCTCACTAATTTAATTCAAATTGATGAAAAAAACATCTTTGTTGAAAGTGTTGCAGGCTTTTAGCGAACAACTAGATGTTTCTAAGTTTAAAGAATCCTGTAAACCCTGAACACACCCCTAAACCCATTTGTTTATGTCCTGCTGTTTGTTTCTGTAAAAATGTACAGGGCCTGCGCGTGCACCGTGTTCATTCATGTACAGTGTAATATCTCCCAGCTCTTTGCTTACTTCTGGCAGGATTACGTCATCGCAGGGCGCTGATGGGGGTTCAGTTCTGTTCCGTACCACAACAAAAACACAGCAGCACCAGTTAGCCTACAATTTAAAATGAAATTATTGTCTGAAAATGCCGACAATACTGAACCCCTTTATTTAGTCTGTGCGTATTGGGGGGGGGGGGTAATTTAAATTTAGAAATAAAGCATTTAAAACCCAACATTTCAAGAAGGAAAAGAGAAAACGCTTTAGCCGCGCAGCGCGTGGGCCGTGGGGGCGGACCACTACATGCGCGCGCCCGCTCCCCCACACTGCCTCTTATCTACAGGCAGCCTGTTTGTTCTCATCTAACGGTGGTTTGAAGAGCCGCATCATGGCTGCGCTGTCAGGAGGAGAAATCTGCATCAAATATCTGATGTTTGCCTTCAACCTGGTGTTCTGGGTGAGTCCGATGCGCCAGAACGAGTCTTTTTTTTAAACATATAAATATACGCACGTCCTCTCCTTTGGTAGCTGATCGTTTTCGTGCGCATCCGAGCGCACTTTACTACCGCGAAATATTGATTGTGTTTTGAATAAGACAGAATGTGGCGTGCATCATGACGGAAATTATGGCTGAATTTTTGCTTAAAGAGGCTGAAACCTAAATATCCCCCCAGTGTTAGTGGAGCGAGCAGGAGAATAATCCCCCTGTGGCCAAGTGACCCAGTTCCTCTGCACAGACCAGGCTCTGGAGTCTATCCTCTGGAGTCTGCGCGTTTTGCATTTTAATAATCCCTCCGAGAGAGTGGGGCTCGCTTTGCTGGTTTTTGTCTTGTTATTTTATTTTTTTATCCCATTTATATATTTAAAATCAAGGGGATAAAAGCTCCTTTAAGAGCTGCAGAGCCAGTATCCCAAGGAGGGTGTCCCCATTGAGCCTTCAGGGTGCGCCATACAAATGCTTTGCCCTTTTATGCACACTACTAATTTGCGCAGCTATGTATAGAGCCGGGGAATGGCCAGTCATTACAGGGCAGGCAGGGGTTTCCCTGTGTCGGGATGTGTCTGATCAAGAGTGTAACTTTAGGTCTACCAGTGGGGGTTCTCTGCTTCTTATTTACTGAATCATTTACTTTTGTAAAATGATTCGGGACATTTTGGGGTGAAAATACAACCCCACCTCCCACCCCTTTTTCCCAACAGGAATAAATATTTTTGCATTTTTAAGATGACATTTTTAAGGCACCTGAGTTTCTCAATTTTCCAAGAGTATGTATTTACCTGGTGCACTACTATCTGGCTAGAAAAAACCACATCATAACCATGGTCATAACCTCCCTAAATCCCCCCGCAAATTACACCCATGGGCCTGACATGCTTCAAAACCCTGTCCAACAGGTTTCTGCCAAATACGCAGGAAAGCTTGCTCAGATCTCACAGCTTCGTGCAAAATGCAGATGTTTCCCGTTTGCAAGGAAGTTAAAGCGAGGACATCTGCTGCGATGTGTACTAGTCTCAACAGGTGATCATGCTCAGTTTGAACACAGGCAGATTATCAATGTGGTGGAGCAGGTAGAGTAGTTAAAAAAACTTTAGAGGCATAAGAGAAACAATAACACCCATGTGCCTGCATGACTTAAACAAAACACAAAAGATTCACGCAGGAACTTGAAACAAACGAACAGAAAGGACAGGCAGCAGGACAGTAAAGGTTAATTTTTTTGTAGAGCAGTCCCTCCCTTTTTTTGCCACTCCTTAACTGTATAATCAGGTGACAGGTAGGTGTGGTGTTTTCTCTTTCCACCGCTGTATGCGTTTGGCTTCCTCCTGAGAAAGCGTTGGGTGCTTATCACAGTGGATTGTACAAAAACGGACTCGTCATGGCCGTCGCTGGGGGGCTCAAGTGTCTGAAGTATCTCATGTTTATCTTCAACTTTATCTTCTGGGTAGGTTTGCGTGACTTTTTTAAAAATGCAAAAGGAGAAGAAAGGTTTTCTCAAATGTGTTTCTAAACTATGAGTCAGCCATTTTTACAGGACAATCTGGCAAACAGGAAGTATTCACGGTGGTTAAGCAACAGCAGGGAGAAGTAAAAGTCTGAACAAGGAAGAGACTTTCTAAATGTCATTACAAGTTAAAGATTCATCAGTCTGACTTATGGGCATGGCAGAAAAAAAACCCACAAAAAATTATAGTACAAAGAGCAATCTCAGGTTGCTTCATTCACTACAAGTGGAGCAAAATGCTCATAGCTTTGTGGTGGAGTTCTTAGGGTTGCTTCAACATTTATTTGATTTCTTCAAAAAACAATGTGTAAATACCACTTTGTGTTCTAATGATACAATTCGTCTAAAAACAAATGGCTCCATAAACTAAATACCACGAATAAATCATAAAGGCTTACATTATGTACTTAAAATATTTACCACAGCCACGACTAAAAAACAATGTTGCTCAAGTTTCCCATGTGGGTAACAGCAAGTTTCTAACACTGACATCTAATAAGAAAAGAAACCAAAACTACAAATCCTTTACGTAAATGAACTTAAATAAATCCTGTCAGAGCAGAGCTGAGAGGAGCTGCTAACTGGTGTTTAATGTCTGGCAAACTTGAACGATGCATTCATCTGGAGATAAGGGATTTATGCACAGTAAGCAAATGAAGCTGGTTTGGTGTTAACTGCAGCTTTGTACGCGTGTTCAGCTTGCAGGCACTGCCGTGTTTGCCATCGGCCTGTGGCTGAGGTTGGACCCAAAAACCAAAAACTTGTTCGAAGGACCAGACTCTCCTTATGTGTTTTACACAGGTAAGACACGTCCAGCTCACAAGGCAGACAGGCTTTCTGCTGCAATTACCGGACAATTTGAATTGTAAACAATGTATTCTTGTTTGTGATGTGCTGTTACTGCCTTTAGGTGTCTATATCCTGATTGGAGCTGGAGCGCTTATGATGGTGGTGGGCTTCCTGGGATGTTGTGGGGCGATCCAGGAGTCACCCTGGATGCTGGGAGTGGTTCGTATTAATTAATATTTCCCAGTTTGACTGACAATTCGTCTCTAAACAGTACCGATGTAAAGTTATACACAGAGCTCTCTACAGCAGGTATGATATTACCTGGTTATAAGCTCTCCACAGAACCCCATTTATGTATACATGAACTGTTCCCCCATCAGGTTCGTTCAAAGTAGATTTTTTTTCTTTTTACAAACGCTTGTTAATTCAGTTTAGTGTCTGTGGACTCCCTGTTTGAAATATGAGATGTCTGCTCTCATAACTGAAGCATCTCAAGGACACAGCAGCGTCTCTGGATGTCTCAGCGCTCATTCCTGCCTCGTTATATCTGTCTCGCACTAAATCTCACCGGAGGAAGGGCCGATGAAAACGTGGCTCTCATCTGACTTTATGAGTCTAACATGCACAGAAAAGACGAGAAATTTCAATTTAGCTTTTCTTTGTTTTTGTGCAGTTCTTCGGCTTTCTGCTGATCATATTCGCCGTTGAGATTGCAGCAGGGATCTGGGGGTTTTCAAACCAAAGCAAGGTAAGGTAATCAGTGTGTTGTCCTAATAATAGCTGTAAGACTTGAACACATACAACAAAAGCGCTTCATGTAGATTTTATTCTTAAATAAGCCACAAAAAATAAGAAGCATCAGTAAAAATAAGAGTACAAATTCAAAACAACTTTGTTTTACGTTGCAGGTGGTGGATGACATCAACAGTTTTTACCTCCAGACGTACAATGAATATAAGTCGACAGGAGATAAGCACCTTGAAGAGACTCTGCGTTTGATTCAAACACATGTAGGACTTTTTTTTCTTTTTGTATTTTATTTCTATATACCTTTAAATGAATCATATTTCAGTCAATAGAAATTCAGAAATTTGATTCAGTAGGTGTTTTAACACAAAATAAACGTTTATTCAAGTTTAGATTTTGTTTGCGACAAAGAACGAAAAGATGTGATGATAGCGCCATGTCTGAAAGTAAAGTGTGAAACTAGAACTGTGAGATTTCTTTGCACAACGCTGCATAGATAAAACAGAAGGAGGGCGGTTTGTCCAGCGGTTTTCATTGCATTCAGTATGTCTTTAATCATTTCATCCAACAAAAACACTTTACTTATTTTTAAAGCTAAAGATCAAGCCGAGACGTTAGTGTTCATTTAAAAATGCTGCATGTTTTCTTTAATTCTGTTTTCTGTACGTCTCCAGCTGAACTGCTGTGGTTCAAACCGTGAAGAAGCAGGAACTGTCAAAGACACTTGTCCTGAAGCAGACCCAAATGAGAAGTTCACTATTAAGGTACAACCTGAGAGCTAATTTCAGCAGAACCAGCAGCACCTTCAGACATCAGACAAACAGGATGTTTTTTTTACCAAAATACTACCCAAAATAAAAAAAATCAAATGTTTAATCTCTGTGAAAATTTGATATTTGCTGTAAGTCAGTTATGACTAACAGGACTCACATCTTCATGTCACCACAGTGCAACCATGTGAACAGGTGTTTACTGTGCTCTGCACACACTCAGACTGTCTGTTACATGCTGCCTGTTGCATTACGTTGAAGCAGTAGTTATAAATCTTTAGAACTACGTGGTTTTGTTGAAACATTTTGAACAAAGAATATCTTACCTGTTGTAGATAGCTCTTTGGAAGAGTTCAGTTTGAATGAACAAAGTTATATTCAGATTTTTTTTTCTCAAAAGTGGATTTTCATCTCCTTAAATCAACTTGAATCTTAATGTCAGTTTGCTTTACACAGTTTTTTTTAGAAGTTTTGTAATATTTCTATCAAAAGTGCTACTGCCAGCTGCTGCTGCCACTATTCATGCTTTCAAATAACAATTCAATTCTATGTAAAGAATCATTAATGGTGATCTAAAGAATTATAAAATAACAGTTATATGCACTGCTAAGATGTTTTTGAGACTGAAGTTGTTAGAAGATGCAAAAATTTATTTTAGTTTTACGCAATTCTTTCTTTTTTTGTTGTTGTTGCAAACCTGATCATAATTTAACACAAACTGAGAGCATTCTTACAACATGTGATAATTGTTCATAATCTTTTCACAGGATTTCACTTCAAAAGGTCTGAATTAGCTCATAAAGGAAAATAAACTTACCATTGTTTTTCTGTTGTAGAGCTGTCCTGAAGCCATTGATGAGGTGTTTGACTCCAAGTTACACATCATCGGAGGAGTAGGCATCACTATAGGAGTTGTTATGGTAAGTGTGCATTCATCAAGTTTAATTTTTTTCTTGTCCTGGAGAAAAATAGAAGCAAATACCCATGTTATTAAAATGAATGAACTCAAACACAAGTAATGCACCTCTTGTATCTTTGCTTTTAGGTCTTCGGGATGATCTTCAGCATGCTGCTGTGCTGTGCCATAAGGAAGTCCCGGGAGGTGGTGTGAGGCCCACGCCACGTTCTTGTAAATTTGCATGACGTCATTCCCAGAGTCACGTTGACTCTCCACTGCCAACAGAAACTCTGCCCGTCTAAGAGGGTTGACCTACGCTTGACTGAGCGCAGACATTTCAGACCACAGAGAATGTGAAGGTCACGTCATGCCGCACGGAAGTTTGGATCTTCTGTATTTATATGCTTTGTTGTACGAGTTTTGCTTGCATTGAGGGTACTTTTTTGTTGTGCAAGAACCCTGGAGACTAACTTTTAATATTACGATTTTATGCAAAAATCTGGTCTAGTTCTACTCAGTTTCTTAAAAAAATAAACTTAAAAACATTTTTTTAAAGAACATCATAAGGATTTATTACACCTTACAGTTCTCCAAGATGAAGCCAAAACGAATTTTACTTTGTAATTTGATTTTTGGAATGTACAGAAATTTTATCAAAAGGTGTTTTCTGGTCTTGTTCATCTAACCCTTTTCAAGTGCGAGGGCTTTTTCTATCTCCTCATAGCACCTACGAAGTATGAAACGAAACCAAAGACAAGCAGATCACAGGAAAGGCTGCCACATGAGCCTCATGTCTGAACACGCAGCCCGGCATCGCGCACCTTCACATTCTCTACGCATCAGTATGACACATTGGTTTTGTGCTGCTGTTATAGATGTGACGTGGTTACTGAGCCCAACTATAAAATGGGTGTCACCTGCTTCCGGGGCAGCGTAGAACAGAAATGTGTTATTTTGTGGTAATTTGACTGAAAAATTTGCATTTTGTGAGCTTCTCGGTTTTCCACAGCGAAAGAGCGTATCATTGTGTAAGGATCACATTTCAACTGTAACCACCTAGTTGTTTTTTTATATTTATGGTTGATGGCCAAATTAAAAACACTGTAAATATCACCACTTTAGTATAACACAGCAGCAGGATCACGGTGGCAAACAGCCAAATAAATATCAAGCTTTAGTGAGCTCGGTGTTCCGAGTAGCATCTTGAGGCACGTGTCCCTCTCTCTTAGTTTACCCATGTTTGAATTGCCTTTACGTTTTGTTCCTTTTATCACAATTTGTATGTCTATATTTTTTGTACGTTTTCTAACATTTGGTGTTTATACGGTACTCGCAGTTTGTTCGTGTCTTTTTGTAACGTTCTCTTGATTTGACAGTGAGTTGATTCTATGCCCTACGTGCACTGAGTTTCACACATTCAAAAAGAATAAAAGGAATTTGTTCATGTCGTACTGTAACGTGGTCTTTCCTCGGGTCGCAACCCTTTAATCATTAGTTGTAACATTAGACTTTATTTAATAAACATGTATTTTAACTGTAAAATAATTACTGTAAAAATACTGTAGTATGTTCAGTTTTTTATCATTTTTAAACTAAAAGTTTAAAAATATATTACATGGATCTGCACATTTTTGTTTACATGCAAAGCATTCTGGGTAAATGATGATGTGGATAGGTCTTCGGCGCGAGGCTGCTAACGAGCTATATCCACCCTGAAGGTTAATCTTTTAAATAAAACCAGAGAGCGTTGACAGAGAGATGGTAGATATGACTCAACCTGTAACTGAAAATATGGATGGAGGACAACAGAGCTGCTTCATGGAAGAAGAACCTCAGCTTAGCCTGTTAGCTTTAGCATTAGCCCCGACGCTATAACCATATATATGTATTAGCTCAGCGCTACACATTCTCCTCTCGTCACAGAGGTCCTCCATCCACATGACAGAGAGGGGAACATAAAAATGACTCAGTCTGCAACTGAAAACATGGATGGAGGACCTCATTTTAGCTTGTTTGTCATGCTAGCACCGAGCTAATACATATAAGGCAATTATAGCGTCGGGGCTAGCGCTAATGCTAACAGGCTAAGCTGAAGTTCTTCTTCCATGAAGCAGCTCTGTTGTCCTCCATCCATATTTTCAGTTACAGACTGAGTCATTTCTACCTTCTCCTCTCTGTCAACGCTCTCTGGTTTCATTTAAAAGAGTCGATCATCAGATATTGTCCAAGATTAACCTTCAGGGTGAATATAGCTCACTCACACAGAGGACCTATCCACGTCATCATTTACCCAGAATGCTTTGCGTGTAAATAAAATGGCCCCGTCCATGTAATAGATTTTTAAACTTTTAGTTTAAAAATTATAAAAACTGAACATCCTACAGTATTTTTACAGTTAAAATTTATGTTTATCAAATAAAGTCTAATGTTACAACTAATCAGGGATCCCTTTAATAAATCCTGCTTGGCGTGTACTACAAAAGGCCGAAGCAGGGTGGAGGTGTCTTGACAACACGGTAAACAACATTAAAGACTGTTTGATGTTTGAGAAAGCCAACCGTGACTCATGGAGATCCCAAACAAAGCTGTGAGCTGCCTTTGTTTCTCTGTGACGTTGTTACAGCAAAATCACGCAGAAAAAACAAATTGTGTTCAAAACTACGGATGCAGACGTTCCAGTAAACAGCGTCGAAATGACTCACCATTTCCCCACGGAGAATTTGTGGCTCTTTGATTACAGCGTGAGGAAGCGCACTATGATTTGTTTGACGAAAGTTGCCCTCCCAGAAACCCTCAGCTCCACTCTAGATAAGCCTAACTATAAATAAGAGTCAATTTCATGCCCTTACAAGTGTTTGCTTTTGTTTTTCTGGCACCAAAACTACAGTGCCCAAGGGACTATGGCAAGAAAAAGGAAAATAAAATAAAATACAGAGATTTTTCTTTGGGAATAAGAAACAGACAACCATCAGTCATCCTCTTTCCAAGACTAAATAATTTACTGTGAGTACAATAAAATAAACAGGATATTTGTATTTTCTTTTTTACTGTTCTTAACAAATCTCACTTTAACACAAAACTAGCAAAACTAATGTAAAATAATTTAACACTTGTTTTAAAAACCTTGCATTGCAGAGGAACATAAAAACTATACAAGGGTAAGATTGCTGTAACAGTCTGAATTAGTGCAAATTATTTCATCCAGCTTTTGAAGGTTTTCTTAGAGTTCACAGAAAACACAATGATGACAGTCTTGGGTTTCAGTCTTCTGTCTCGTCGTCTGTGCTCTCCTCAGAAATGTTTGTGAGTTTGTGTGACGGTGAGCATAAAGCAGTGTGCGTTCGTACCATCGCGTCCACTCGGAGCAGACTTGTGGCGCACTGCAGCACGGCCAGGAGCAGCTGGTACTTACAGGAAATGGACTCGAGGCCCAAGTCCAGCATAAAACGCTTTGACGGTGTGTCGCCTCGGTCGGGATCTTCATTTGCAACGTTTTTGAACGCCATAAAAGGACGGGACCGATCTGAAATTAAACTCGTGATCCTGGTTTGAGCCTGCAGGAAACGTTTGGGATGGTGAGAGTAAATCTGACGAGGCACACTCAGGAGGGTGTTCGCCAGGATCTGACAAACGTTGACACCCAGATTCGTGCAGCTCGAAGCTGAGTGACTGCGGCTATGTTGTGTGAGGCCATGGTGCAAGAGAAACTCAAATGTCCCACCAGCGGGAATCACACAACCTGGCTTTAACGCACACGTATCAGATCTGTATGCTGCGTTTCCAGTAGGACAGTGTGCATGTAAAGATGTCCCTTCATGTGGCTGAACGGGATTCTTCAGTGTCGTGGCCTCAGTTGTAGATACGGGCTCCCACATGGTTAGTAGCACGCGAACTGCATCTTGAAATGCACTTGTGCACTGGTCCGTTTGTGCTTCTCCTGGAGCACAAATCACTAGACTGCAAGGTTTAACTCCTGATGAATCACAGAAAGCCACATGGACATATCTGTAAAGGAAAAAAAGAGGAACATGTTTCACAAGTTTGTACAGACATGTGATCAAACACAACGGAGAGGGAGGGAACGTATTTGCGTACCTGTGGGCTCCGAGCAATATTGCTCTGCAAAACGTCAGCGTAGCAATGTTCTCTGGCTGAATCCTCCAGCAGTCTGAGATGGGCGTCACCCCACTTAGCCGGACAAAAAGAGAAAGTTCGTCTTCGCTGACACACTCCACAAGGCACATCTCTGCCCGTGCAGCTAAAGCCAAGACAGCAGTGGACTGCTTCACTGCACACAAAAGCAACGAGACTCCAAAACTCTGCAGAGTTGCGATAACGCTCTCCAGTGACCGCTCTGTCCGAGCGCTAAACGGCACGATGCTTTCCTCGCCCGTCACCCGGCCGCCACAGCGCAGCTCCAGCACGTAGCTTTGATGGAGAATCGTTGGCTGCAGGTGTTCTGTGAAGACTGCAGCTCTGACCGGCTGCTTGTGGACCTGGAGGCACGGCGTAGAGAAGTCCCTGTGAATTACCTGCCCTTCGATCAAACGAGATGAGCTGACGGGGAAGCCTGAGACCTGCGTGTGAAGCGCTGGAAAGTTGTCACTCAGGAACTGAAGAAAAAAGGACAGCTTGTCATTTTGAAACTTCCAGCGAGTGAGCAGTTCACATGCCAGGTCACTTAAAAAGCCACAGTGCACGGAATCAAGACGAGTGTGAAAAAACGACGATAGGAGTGTCTGAATACGGAAATCACTCGGGCGAGCTGGTGGCTGTGTTTTTGTGGTGAAATCCTCTGCTGAAACACAGAATCCACGTGGCACCACACTGACTGAAATAAGGTCAGCCAGCTCTGACGTTGCAAATGCGAGCAGTTTGTCAGCCAAACGCCTGGCAGCGGCGGCTTCCGTGGACTTAGAGCACTCAGACACAATGGGCGCCTTGCTGGCTGAGGCATGAATCATTCGAAGTAGAGACGCAAGCAGAAGAACAAAGGTCTTGGATCCGTCACCTGTTACTGCGCTGTGCTTACAGACACAATCCACCACCACCCTTAAAAGGAGCAAAACAAGGCACGTCACAGTGGAAACTGGTCCTGGATGAAAGGAATACAAATAGTGTTGTTTTTGTGCTAACCTGGCCAGCGGGTGCTCCAGATGCAAAGCTTTGAGTATCTGCGTGCCGCTGCGGCTCAACATTGCCTGACCGGTGCTGCGAGTAAACAGCACCTGTCCTCCATCTGGGCCAAAGCTGCGAAGGACCACGGCCTCCAGGGCACACACTGTCTGCAGGACATGTTTGAGGTGCAGGTGCTCCACGGACGTCATCCCTTCACCGTGGAATTCATACACTGAAGTTAAGAAACAGAAAGTTAAGAAAGAAAGACAGAAAGAGTGGATGGATATATGCATGTATTAAGACAACTCGCAGTGGACACATCAGCCAAATGGACAGTATTTCTCTGTCACCTGCAGTGCAACAAAAGCATTGATCTGCAGAGGTTTCTGTTCTCAACAGTCCCTCATAACTTTTAAGTAGACAGAAACAACTGGCTCCAACATGAGCCTTCACAGCCGATGCAACCGTACAGTGTGTAGGCCATGTTTTCGTTATTATAAATATTTGTAACTTCTTGACTGACAGTGGATTTGGCAGCTTTGAAAAGAAATTCAAGACCTTGACTCTGGACATGAATACCGTCTAATTGAGACAATAGCATGAGGAAAATAAAATTATTAACTTGGAAGCTTAAAATGTTTAAAAATGTGTTATAATTTAGTTAATTTTAAGTCTACAAATTGTGAGGGAAAAAAACGGGATAACAAACCCCAGGGCAGTTTTTAACATCACACTGAACAAGAGACATGAGAGTGGACCCGCTGTGAGTTATTATTAGTCAAGAAGGAGCGATTTGTGTCTGGTGCCAGAAAGGTTTAGGACAGGGGTGGGCAATCCTGGTCCTCAAGGGCTTCTATCCATGTTTTACCTGTTTCCCTGCTCCAGCACACCTGATTCAGTGAATGAATCACCTTTTCAAGTTCTGCAGAAGCTAATTAGACATTCATTGAAATCAGGAGTGTTGGAGCAGAGACGTAAACATGTGGGAGCATATAAATATTGGACTTTCTTAACTTAAACTTAAAAGTGTTAGCTATTTAATTTATGGTTAAGTCGTTTGTTGCAATTTAACATATTTCTGTCATAAATAAAGCTTTAAATACAGTATCTACTTTACAGTCCTCCTACCTTCACAGCACTAAGAATTTTTTTGATCATTTCAACATTTGATTTAAGTCTTGTAATAACTTACAGTTAGATAAGACTTGAAGAAAGAGTTTTGAGGTCAGAAAAATACATTTACAAACTTAGTTGACAGTTGCCTAAAGCCTGGCTGTGCACACGGACGAAAACCTTAAAAACAAAGCTTGATACTTATTTTCTTAGCATTTGCTATGTTCAGTATCACAAGGAAAGGGGCTTCGTAAACAGCGCACCAAGTACAGCACAAACAGAATAATGTTTTCTGTCAGGGAGTGCTCTATTTTTGATTTTCTGTCTCTCTCTAACAATGAATGAGCCGATGTCAAAAGCAGAGACGGTCTTTAGCATTTGCCAGTGCACTTTTTTCCGCATATTTGGAACCAACATGGATCGAATGAGCTTATCCATTGGAAAACTCCACAAACTTAACTATAAAATAAACTCGTAGACAACAGAAGAAAACCAAATGCGTAAAATAACAGAAGAAAACTCACCCCCGGCTCTAACAGGAAGTCTAATCTGTGTTGCTAAGAAACGACTCTTCTTCTGTGGTGGAATTTCAGCTGCAAAATATGTCTCCCTCTTGCGGCCATGCGGGTGTTCTTCCTCCTCCACTTTCACTGCCTCATAATCAGAGACTTTTTTTAATTTATACTAATAACATACATATATTTAGGCATATTGCGAAATATATTAGTTTTTAAAAGTTATTATATAATATGCAAAAGTATTGATATTAATATATACTTTTTTTTTCAAAACCAAGACAGATAACGTTTTCCCCCCTGATTTTACCTGTGTGCATAATGTTGCCTTTAATTATAAAAATCTTAAAATATAAAACATGAACTGTGGACTCTAAATCTATTGATGGCACACTTAAAGAAACATATCTCAGGATTCATTAGTGAATAAGATACACAGAGTGTTTATTCCCATGCTGTACATCACAAAGAGATATAATGTTCTCCTCTTGTTCTTTTACCTTCTGTTCTTTAACAGGCGAACCCTCAAGGTGAACTGGGCAGGACCGGAACCCGATCTCTGCAGAAGCCCCGTCCTAAGTTTCTAAATCGGGCTACATCATCTAAACATAGACAATATGAGACAGTTCTGCAGCTACAGCCAGATGTACAGCTGNCACACACACACACACACACACACACACACACACACACACACACACACACACACACACACACTGAGAGGTGTCCACTCTGAATGTAAATGTCCATCTGGTGCTGAACCCTCAGTATGCTAATGAGCTTTAAAAAGCCATGTCACTACACTGATGAATATACATCAGTGGCCCTGTGAGGGTGACCTGCAGGGATGGGACGGAGGTCTCGAGAGGTGAGGCACCAGGAGTGAAGACCACAGCTCCCCCGAGACCTGAATGGACAGAAAAGAATGCACATTCCCCCCCAATACTAAACTCTCTCTCTCTCACACACATCAATCCCAGCCTCACCTTCCCCACCCGCTCTGTTTCCTCTCGGTGGCACTTTCACACACCTGCTCTGTTTTTGCTTTACGCCTGAAGAGCGGTGAGACTTAGAAACACCTAACAAGCAGCGAACTGATACAAATCTCGTCGTCTTTTCTCTGATTCTGACAATTTCTTTCCCTGTTTGACCCTCCATGTGAAAATAAGTCCTCCTAATCTGCTGGGACAGTTTATGACAGGTATGTGTTTCAATTATTCCAACTTTTTCTTATAATTGCAAAGGTAAATTATTTTAACTTCATCAGACACTAAAATGAATGAAATTAGTGACAGGCTATGCTTTTATATTTTGGAATTTCTTATAAGACAATTAGGAAAAATGTGAAATGGTTAAATTTGCAGAAGAAAACTGTTCTCTTAAATATTTTTGCAGTTTGAATTCAGGCGCCTCAAAGGTTGTTTGTGGCTGGCGGTGATTTCTACCTCAAATGTAGGGGAAAAAACACAAAAATGGACGAAGAGAAACTGAAACGACTGCATTAAAAGAACCCAAAAGGCAAAACATATCTCATATCCAGCCAAAACTAAAACAAATTTTTAAACTTATCTTTTATTCTCTTTGCATGACCTTGTCACATCTGTCTGACCTCTGGCAGCTGAGAGATCCAGGCTTTAACCCTCCCTCCCCGTCCCAACCTCACAACTCAGTTTCAGCAGCTTTGGCAGCGACAGCAACTTTCATATCCTGTCTTCAAGCGTTATTGCCAGGCCAGCAGAAACTGGAGAAGTTATTTGACGCTGGCGTACATACTCTTGTCTCTAAGCGGGTTATTGCATCAAATATTTGATCAATAGTCAATAAAGAAACTCAGTTCTGGGGTTTGAGCGAGTGTTTTTTTTTTAAATGTCGATTGAATCACACACTTATGGGCGATTTAAAGCTGAATCCATACTGAAGTGTTTGGTGCTGAGCGTGTGGCTTTCTGTCTCTGTTTTAGTTTCAACTCTGAATCCACGATGAACCGTCGAGCTGCACCGAGCACCTCGCTTGCTAACTCCCCGAACGCCACGACCGCACCGGGCCAAACACAACCCGGGGGCCACGGCGCCAACAAGTTCATGAATGAACTGCGCAGCCTGCACAGTGAGTCGCACGCCTCATTTGATGTTTGTTTAAATCAGAGGTTCTCAAACTGGGGTCCCCTAGGGGTCAGTGAGCTGCATGTTGGGGGTCCTCAAAAAAATTCTCTAAATTGTTTATTTGTTTTTTATTTTAAAAAAATGCACACGAGGAACAATGAAATAGCAAAACTAACGCACTAAACCAAACCAATAATAATATTCCCATGACATTTAGAGAATGGGATTTATGACAGGGTCCCTGCAAATGTTTCACCCTTATAAGGGGTCCCCAGACCCAAAACGTTTCAGAACCCCTGGTTTAAATATGCTGGTCTGTAAAAACCTGTCCAAGGTGCACCCCCACCCTTCGCACAGTGACCCCCCGTGACCCTGAAAGGAAGAAGCAGGTATAGATGGATGGTCTGTAAAATAAAGACATTAGATGGGTTAAATAAAACAAAACTGCTTAAATGTTGGTTTGCTTATGAAAACATATTCTTTTCTGAGTTTTCTTTTCACAGTTTGCACATTATTCCATGTGTGACTTGCATCTGCTAAAACTGCACGTATGTGGGGTGTGTGTGTGTGTGGGCGTTTTGGGCTATACTTACTTGCAATACTGCAAATAAAAACAAGGCATTTACTGAGTTATTGTAAATTATGCTATTTGGGGTGTGTGTGTGTGTGGGGGGGGGGGGTACATTAGTACTCAAATAACTGGTAATTAAAGCACCACTGATGCAGAGGGGGCATGTATGAATTTTTGGAGTGACATCTGCTAAAATCAGGGTAATTAATCTTCCGGATGCGATTGTTTAATAGAACAATATGATACACCTGATTCTGCATCTGAGGCTTCAAACAGAGCATCTACTCAACAGCTAAGACTGTGCTGTGTTATGATTTTTATAAATGTATGGGTTTGAAATGATATAGCTGTTATACAGGCATTTTGGGGTGGTAAGGAGACTGGACTGGGGTGGTTTTGGTGTCGGGGTGTAGGATGATGGGTGCATGGAGAGGTGCTGGGTATCTGAGTGTAAATGTGTGTATTAGTATTAGTGTGTAGTTGGATGCGATTGTCTCTGAATGTGAATATATAACTCAAAATTTAGTATTGAAATAATACTGGATTACCTTATGTATTATTTTATACGTGTATATTGTTTGTTTGTTTTCTTTTTTCAACACAAACTGATGACTGAAAACCAGATGAAGTGGTGGATAGTGGTAGGATTAAATAAGTTTTACTTCTGCCTGCCTACCCCATTTCAGACATGTTAATGGGCTTTATGTGCTTCATGTTTTTGGGTAGGGGTACACAGATAGGTGTGTGCACATTGGGTGCATATTTATTTTACGGGCTTATTTATTTGTGTATAATTAGTTTAAGTGGTTTCATTTTTGTTAAAAATTTATTTTACAAGAAGTTTTGGTTGTATAAAAATGTGTGGATACAGATATAGATTCAGACTATGGTTTATGTAATGAATTTGACATGTCTGGAATACATCATAAATAAAAAAAAAATTTAAAAAAAGAGCATGATGAAGTAAAGATGCAGATAAACACAAATGAAGAAAAATGTGAAATGGTCGACTCAGCAACAATAGACACTGATTTAGTTTGCATCAGTGCAACAGATTATGCACAGCTGCCAAAAGCAATTTATCGTTGTCTTTTTTGTAACCTTCTTCCCTGCTTTTTTTTTTTTTGTAAAAACAATGTGAGGATAGAAAATCATCACTTTTGTACACGAGTCTGTCAAACTTTTAAATTCCAAAAACTGCCCATCCCTAAAAGCAGGGGAACGAAACAAGTCAAAGTTGCACCGACGGACCGAAAACTGTAAAGACATTTCTGCGATTCTTGTGTTTTGTGGATTTTTACAGAGCCATCCTGGGCTGTCGGCGCCCTCTCTATGGTGAGTTTGTGCGTCGTGTTGTCGTGCGTTGTGTGCGTGTGGAAAAAGCGCTTGATGAAGAAGGACAAGGACAAAGAGAAGGACAAGAAAAAGGGGAACGAGAAAAGCAAGGGAGGCTTTGACACCGAAATGGATGGGGGTCACGATGAGGTAAGCGACCACACACACACACACACACACACACACACACACACACACACACACACACACACACACACACACACATACATATATTGCAGACACATTGTCCTTGCAATGTATCACAGTTCTGACATGTGGGTCACCCAGAACCAGTAAAATTGTCAGTGACTGTTGAGACTAATAGACTTTCTGTATGTTAAAGCAAAAGTCAAAAAAAGTGAGGACAGTAGTTTTGAAGCTGTATGATTGTTACTCGATGTCGGGAACGCTTTAAAGGCAGATGTCTGCTTGGGTGTGTCTGTGTGCAGACCCCGGAGCATGAAAGCAAAGAAACAAACCTCTCAGAAACTGAGCCCAAGGAGGACGAGAAGCTCGGCAGTCTGCATTTCACGTTAGACTACAACTTCACAGAAAACACAGTGAGTTGCTGCTGCTGCTCCGCTCACCTGCTGCCAACTCTAAAATGTCAACGTTTGAAATACTTTTCATCAGCCTGTCAATCAGCAAGCTCTTCTTTTTCTCTGTTGCTCCCCGACCCCCTGCGGTCCGACTCCAGCTGGTAGTAGGAATCCTGCAGGCTGCAGGGCTGCCTGCCATGGATGTAGGAGGCAGCTCTGACCCATACGTCAAGCTCTACCTGCTGCCAGACAAAAAGAAAAAGTTTGAAACCAAAGTTCACCGGAAGACACTGGAGCCAAACTTCGACGAGACGTTCACCTTTAAGGTAAACGGGCTACGAAAGGAAACGTGAGCTACAGCGTGTAGGGTCTTTCATCGGCGTGCCCTCTGCAGGTACCGTACACAGATCTGGGAGGCAAGACGCTGGTGATGACCGTGTACGACTTCGACCGTTTCTCGAAGCACGATGCCATCGGAGCCGTGAAAATCCCAATGAGCGGCGTGGACTTCAGCCAGTCCCTGCAGGAGTGGAGAGATCTGCAGAAGGCAGAGAAGGAGGAGGTGGGACCTGTTTCTGTTCACTGAGGGGATATTTGACGTGAATGGGCGTCAATTAAACAGTTAAAAATGTGAATCAAAAAGGAAAAATAAGTAGGTCCTCTGGATGGGTTCTTCTTTAGTGAAACGTTTCGCCTCTCCTCCAAGAGACTTCTTCAGTCTGATGAGTTTCAGGTGAACTCAGTCTTATAAGCACTGCCTCCACATGGACAAACAGGTTAGTCACATGCAAAAGAGGGTCATCACCTAACAATAGGCTTGATTAGCTCTATTGTTCATAGAGGGTCATGTGCCCCATCACCTGACTTATTGGTTTGGATGCTTCGGCTGTGGTTCTTTGGTGTTTTGTTATCTGTGTGTAGTGAGTGCAAGCGAGGTTCAACGTCCCCTTGTTTTTGTCTCTCTTTCCCTCTGTGTGTTGGTTATCGTTGGGGCTCTGATTCACACATTTTGCTCACAGGGGGCTGAGTCATACATGCAATAACARCATTGTAGGRGGAGGACAACTGGACACGMAGRCCTCCACCTCTGTTTAATGGTGGACGGTTTTTCTTCGCAAAGATGGCTTCCTTTACTCCTCTCTCAAATCAATGTTCCTCTCTAGGATGAGAACATCTTCATCACTGAAAGAGTGACCGCTGGCTTGTAGATGAGTGTAAACTGCAGAGTCCTGACCCGACGAAGTAACTCGTCTGTGCTGGCTCATTCTTTTGATCAGTGGCTGTTTTGTTTCCCCGGTGTATAATTGATCACAGTCCTCCTGACATTTAACAGCATATAATATATTACTCTGTTTTTGCCAGGGAACTGGATCTTTGGGGTGAACTAATCTTTGTCGTAACGTGTTTTGGTGTTTGAAAGCCTCTGGGACGTCATGTTTAGAAAATAAACGTCTCAGTTTCTCTGAACCACCTGCAAACCTACAACGCTGTTATTGCATGACTCAGCCCTCTGTGAGCAAAAGATGTGAATCAGGACCCCAATGATAACCAACACACAGAGGGAAAGAGGGACAAAAACAAGGGGACGTTGAGGCCCGCTTGCACTCACTACATACACATTACAAAACACCAAAGAACCACAGCTGAAGCATCCAAACCAATAAGTCAGGTGATGGGGCRCATGAYCCTCTATGAACAATAGAGCTAATCAAGCCTATTGTTGGGCATTGGCCCTCTATTGCATGTGACCAACCTGTTTGTCCATGTGGAGGCAGTGCTTTTAAGGCTGAGTTCACCTGAAACTCATCAGACTGAAGAAATCTCTTGGATGAGAGACGAAACGTTTCACTAAAGAAGAACCCATCCAGAGGACCTACTTATATTTTTCTTTTTGATTTTTTTCTACCTGGATCACTGAGGTGCATCAGGACAGTTAAATGTGAAATGCTTTTGTGTGTTTGAAAGCTGGTAATATGGGTGACCCATCACATCGAAACGAGGATTAAGTTCAAAAGTGGGATGTGTAAAAATAGGCAGATGTATAGGGTTTTGATTTAAGCGTGTGCAAAAATTGCATTTTGTCAAAATATAATGAATTAATGCCTTAACAATGCATCATTTGAATGAACTGTCTGAAATATAATCCTAAAAAAATGTAAACATTTTTTTGAACAGTAGCAACAAAAAAACCTGATTTTGAGGAAAAAACGCTTTAATTTTTTAAAAAAAATTCCTGTTAGCTAGCAATGTTTCTGTTTCTTTTCAACTGGGAAATCTTAATATATAAATAATATTTTAGGTTCCCTCTTTATATTAACATCAAAAATTACTCAATAAATTTGCATAAAATTATGATTCAGACCTAACAGTAATGTATTATCATAACAAACGAGAGAAATTATGTCATCTCTGGATAAGCTTATGATATCAGGATGATCCAGGTATCAAATTATAGACTTCAAAGCCAGAAATCTGAAAACGTAGTTAGGTCATTTTGTCCAAATTTGACTTAATCCTCATTTCGATATGATGAGTCACATATTTCCAACAAGGCGTTTCGTTTTTGTGCACTAGAGTGAGCGACTTGGAGACATATGTTTGTCCCTGAGGTTTGTGCCCACTGCAGGGAAGCTGACTGTCGTAGTTCTGGAGGCCAAAAACTTGAAGAAAATGGATGTGGGTGGATTATCAGGTGAGTTAAACAGCAAATGACACCAAGAACGCTAGAGAGTTCAAATCAATAATTCTGACATGAAAACCTCATTTGGTATTTAGTTGCTTAAAACACATTTATATGACCTTACCTCTTTATATTTTATAAAACCAAGTAATATCTAAATATTATTTTTGCCTCAGATTGCACATTAATTGCTTTTTAATGGCAGTTTCATTAAAGCCCTTGCAAGAAAAACGAGGAGCCACTCAGAACGATGTTATGCTTCCCTGATAGCGTAACCACATCAGTGCCAAGCTGCTGGTCTGCTGCTCTCACATAAAACTCCTCTATTCTCTCCACCAGACCCTTACGTGAAAATCCACTTAATGCAGAACGGGAAGAGACTCAAGAAAAAGAAAACTACGATCAAGAAAAACACGTTGAACCCTTACTACAATGAGTCATTCAGCTTTGAAGTGCCATGTGAACAGATAGAAGTACACAAAGTTATTCTCATACATATAAATAACTATATTAGTATTAATTGTCTAAAAAAATGATTTTGTGTATTTTCTTAACAGAAGGTGCAGTTGGCAGTGACAGTGCTGGACTACGATAAGATTGGGAAGAATGACGCCATTGGGAAGTTATTGTTGGGTGGAAACAGCAGCGGGACTGAGCTCCGCCACTGGTCAGACATGCTGGCCAACCCCCGGAGGCCGATAGCCCAGTGGCACAGCCTCAAACCACAGGACGAAGTCAATGCACTTATTTCCAAGAAATAGAACTTATGATAAACCTTATATTTACATCTAATGTACATTATTGCTCTTTTTTTAAAATCCCTATTTATAGAGATGTTTGACTGTTTAACGTCAATTATTTAATATCCTGCTTGGCACCATCCCATTATTGGTGCCTAAAGGCTTTAAATCTTGAACAAGTCCTTGATTGTACTTTAAAACCATTTAAATTATGTATATAATTATATCACTATGTACAGTGTGATAAGAATACAATCGACCTGCAGAGGGAGACAAATTAAAGCACATCAGTAAGTCCAGTAAATGAACTTTGCTTTCAGAATTACCTAATTAAAGATCATTAATCTTATGGCCATTTTCTGCATTGTTTCCTCCTGATAAAGCAGGTTTGCAGTGTTTCCACAAGAAAATATAAATGGGATCATTGTTATTCAGTGTTCATGGTGTCATATTTTGCCTTATGTACAAATATTAGAATAACATATTCAATATGCAAATTTAAGATCTCTTTTTTGTTGTTTGTTTTCAATTTTTTTTGCAGCAAAAACAGACAAATTGCATGTGCATCATAAGATATTTCTGCATAGCGAAATTTATATTTGTAGCAAAGAAGTAAATGAAGAAAAAAAGTAGGTTTTAGTAAAATTTACAATGAAAAAATAAAAATTTTGGTGACGTGAAAGGTGTAAAATACATAGTAGAAAATAACTTCTTCAGAACTCAAGTTTTATGTAAACAAAATGTGGTAATTGACTATTTATCTTTATATTATAAATTTAATTTAATAGTACTAAATATTGGTGACAAATAATATTTTTTCACACATTCAGTCAAAATAGATGTACAATAATAGCCATGCATTTATAAAATGTGTATGAACATCTGATTTGAATATTTATTTATTGTTGTTATTTAAGATTTTAAACTTAAAAAACATTAACTTGTTCCAAGTCACAGGCTAATCTGGTGATAATAGTTCAATTAAAAACATCAGCTAGTCCCGGCCTAGCTCGCTGTAAGTTAGCTACCTATTAATAAAACAAAAACAAAGTTTAGACGAATAGACTAGAGCTTATAATTCAAAAATAAAAAATAGACAAACACTTTTTTTAGTTTGCCAAAAAACATGTAAAACTAGTGCCATTTGTGTTTTTTTATTTTTATTTATTTATTTTTACCTGAGTGTGTGCCAGGAGGCTGCTCCTCGTGCAGCTGGGGGGGCTGTTTCCTCCAGGTGGGCTTTACAGACAGGTGCAAGCAGGCTCCGTCCAGCTGCTGTCCTTTCCTCCCAGGCCAGTTGAAATGTCCTGTTAACGTTTCGCTGTGAATTCCTTTCGGACTCTGAGATGAACGTGAAGTGGACATTGAAACGATTTCTTCTTATGTCGTTTTCAGTCTCCCACCTGCTGTTACTAGAGGGTAAGACCAGAAACTCTTTTCTTAATCAAATTTTCAAATAGTTATTATTTTACCACGTGCAGAGAAGCTGTTTTTTTGGGGGAAAAAAGGTTAGCACAATATTAATATTTATTTATATATATTTTAATCAATGGTAATTAGTGTGCATTACTTTTAGAGATGATTTTAGCAATGTTTTATAAAGTTGTTTCATCTTCCATAGTTCCCTGATGAGGCGTGGAGATTTATAAATAACTGCAAACACAAGACTAAATAATTTGTCTTCATCCCATCAGATTAACATTACTGTATCTAAAAGCATGATATTATAAGAGCTATTGTATATTAGATAAACTTTTATTCTCATGGTGTGATTTTTTTACTGTAGGAGCTCAGATCCAACGTTCAGTAGCAGAAGGACGATCACAAAGGTAAATAAATTAAGGGGTTACATTAATGTGGTTTTCGTGACCACGCCATATCCACACTTTCTGTTAATTGTGTGTGACAGGCTGTAAATGAATGTGCGTGTGTTTTCTGCGAGGCCTCTGTAAAAAGCCGTTTTGGAGTTTGGATTCAAGTGGCGTAAAGTGCACTTAAGTCTCCCCTCTGACTGTTTCTTCCCACTAATGTGCGTGTTTGTGTGTGTGTGTGCAGAAGGGCTAATGCACTCCGGAGGAAACGGGATCTCCTTGGGGAGGAGGTTTGTACACTACACCTAAGAGAACCAGAGCAGGTCAGGGCACCCACATGCGCACAAACACCTCACCCCGGCACAAAGCTGGCCTTTGTGCCGAGCGAGACACGCACAAGCGTCTCTCCCACTCATCTCTCTGTTGCAACTTCTAAACTTATAGCAGCGGGAACACAGCAGGTCTGAGTCAGTCACGCCGTTAAAGCAGGGAATCGTTGAAGGAACTGATCTAAGTGTCTATTGTTTGTTCCCCAAGACATATAGGCCATTGTTGTCAGAGGGTACCCTGTCACGCAGTATTTTGCACAACTACACAGCCAGAGATTCCTCTTCAGGTAAAAACCATTCATAAACCTTAATAAAAACATGACTCAGGAACAAAAAATCTTAAGTTCATGGTGTCTTCCTCAGAACACTGCGGCTGCCTTAATGGTGGCTGGTGTCAGGAGGGCGGTGTGTGTGACTGCGCTCAGTTCCAGGCACTGGGAGACCGCTGCCAAATCAGTAAGTACCCCACTCGCACACATCGTCGTGCTTTCCCGGTCTCGTTTCGACTCGGGTTGGATGCGGAATCCAATTTATGCAATCAGCAAACCGCGCAGGTGCCTGGCACTTTTAAAGGCACCTCACTTCTTTAATAAGAGGATCAATCACTCAGCTGGAGACATGATGGAGCGTACGCAGGAGACTCTTCAATCACTCGACAAATTCTGATTACCTGAACACACTAGGTCATTAAACTCTTCATAAATTTTATCCTCCATTGTCTCCGTGTTGAGACAAATAGACCACATGAAATGCAGAAGTTCCTTTGAAAAACAGATTAAACAAATCCTAAAAATAATAATGAAAGATTCATTTGAAAAGGGGTATCATGAGGTTTGCATAAAAATCCACCCACACTGATAAGATTACAGAGTGCGATTCACCACAGCCACCACCCACATTCTCAAATTTTGGGAAGGGGCTTTCTTGGGCAGCATCTTGGCAACGCCAGCCTCGGGGATTTCCTGTAACAAAGGAGGCTTTTAGAGCGTTCAGGTTATTCATTGTTTCCACAGATAAGTTAAATAAAATAGATGGTGAAAGATATGAAGATGAAGGCCGAGATGGAATGCATTGCTTGCCCATCGAAGGTTGAAAGGCAGATTCTAATTAAATGTGTTTTGATTTGTGTGTAAATGGATTCGAGCCACTTTGTTTGGACGTCCTTTCAGTACCCAATCAGGGCCAGGATCGAGATGGGATCTGCAGGTCGTGGGGTCAGCACCACTACGAAACATTTGACGGAATCTACTTCTATTTCCCTGGAACCTGCTCCTATATTCTGGCTCAGGACTGCCACTCGGCTACACCACAGTACACAGTGTGGGTAAGGCCAAATAATGCTAAAGTGATGAGAACTTTTCCAGAAAAGTTAAGCAGAAGCCCATCATGAAGACTTTGACCATTGTAATTCACACTGTAAATGTTGCAGATTAAAAATTATTGCTATTTCAGAGATAATTTTCTACAGCTTTCCTTATTTTATTTATCATCTGGATTATTTTATCTACATTTTCTTATAAGTAGTGCCATGTGCTGGCAAGAATTTGGTGAGATGATAATATACGACACAAGTCATATGATATGTTGCAAAACTGTTAACAAGACAATTCATTTTGCCATTTTTGACTTCAAAAGATTCTAATTGTAAAAAAAACAATGAAATGCATGCATAAAATCTGATTAAATTCAGTTTATTTTTATGTAATTAAAAATGAGCACTTTAGAGAACCATTACAATATCAGGAAATAAAATATTGTGATCTTTCAATGAATCAACATTTTCTTACACCCCTAGTAATAAGAGTTCCTTTTAACTGAGTTGTTTCCCAGCTTTTTATCATTTTCAAACAGTTGATTTGTGCACAAATGTTCATTTTTCTCAGTTTGATTTCCAGCTCGTCTCTTTTTTTTCATCCTCTCAGATTCATAATAGCAGAGTGTGTGATGGAAGTGGATATTTATGTCCGAGAGCTCTCAGTTTGTTCTTCCCAAATGAGGAGGAGATTCACATCTCTGGATATCAGGTCCATCAGGGAGGTCGCAGGTGCGAAGGAAAAACAACAAGAGTAACCCAGTTTCTTACAACTCATTCATATTTAGTGTTAGTTGTTAAAGTCTGGTTTGTGTGTGAAATGTCAGGTTGAGTCTGCCTCAGACTGTAGGTGGGGTGTTTATTGAGCGACTGGCCGACTACCTGCTGGTGAAGAGCGTGTTTGGCTTCTCCTTGGCCTGGGATGGAGGCTCGGGCGTCTACTTGAAAATGAGTGAGGAGCACCAGGGCGCCCCATGTGGCCTGTGTGGGAACTTCAACCACATCGCTGGCGATGACCTTACCACTGCTCGTGGTAAGACCGGCTCAACTGGCCCCCTATTCCTTTTCCCCTTTCACTCGGCACCCACTCATTGCAATTACTGCTATTATACACTCAACACTGATTCTGGCTAATTATAGTTGCAGTGGGACCTGCTTAGGCCTGGGCAGAATGACAGACGGGGACTGGAATTTTGGTTTTGATTGGTTGGAAGAAGCAAAAATCTCTTTTCAGATAAGCAGAAATATTCTCTACTTGTCCTGTAGCTAAAGACGAGTTAAGTCCCGAACTTTGACCTTCTCGATCTGTGTACACCTATCTCAGTGACGTATAAGTTGGATGAAATATCACAGAACAATTGACAAACATCACATATGAAAAAGATATGGGTCAGATTTTAAAAAAAGTTATCGGTCACATTCAGACTGTCATAAAAAATATATGTGATTTTGCCTGCAGTGTGAACCCAGCAGGAGCAGTGCCTCTGTCTTGGCTCTCATCTGTCCTTTGCCCGAGAAAGATGATGGTGGATGCAGTTCTGTGTCCGAACACTAGTGGCAGTAATGAGTCTAATAAGAAAGTTCAGCGTGAATCAAGCTTGTCTTCTTCTCCTCTTAAGAAGATTTGAACATTCCGGCAGGAAAAGTCTTTGAACTGACAAACAATGGCTGGATTTTTTTTCCACAAGCCATGTGTTTGAGAGTATTTTATCTATGTACAGTAAAAAGACATGTAAAATTAGTAAGAAGAATTACTGTGCAATCTTACAAGTGTTTGAACACGTGACTGGTTAAATGTAAACACCTTACCAAAACAGGGATTTGTGTGCAAGGATGTTCACCAAACAGCCCCTCTATGAAAATCATGGCCCCTACTCAGAAAAACCCTAGATCTGCCAGTCTACTTCCATATTGATGTGCTGACTTTGTGTTCCAGGCATTCGGACAGACGAACCTGCAGTATTTGCCAACAGTTGGACTGTGGATCTCCCTCATGAGAGAGTTTGTCCCTCAATCGATCTCGACTTCAATGGGCCCTGCGATTCTGAGTCAGACATGGATGTGAGCATCAAACAACAATATCTCTGCTCTGTATTTGCATTTTATGACAAATTACACAATCATTTTTGTTCATTTCAAACAGCAAAAACGGTAATAGGCCTACTCAGCAAATGCCAAGATGATGCATTCATTTTACTTTCTTGCACTTTTCTGTCTGTATCACATAACCTGTGTATGCATTTCATACTTTGTGTGTGTATACACCTGCAGGACGCCATCGAGAAATGCAGTGCGCTTCTCTTCTTTCCATTTCTGTCATGTCATGAAAATATTGACCCCAATCCTTTCGTGGCCAGCTGTGTGTCTGACCTCTGTGTGTAAGTCAAAGCAGTGAAAAATGGATACCCTTTTTGTTCAGTTAGAGTCTTTGTGTGAACAACCTTTTCTCTTTTATTGCAGGTCTGATGATGAGGAAACATTTTGTCGTGCTTTGGTTGAATACACCAGAGCCTGTTCACATGTAGGATATCCTGTGAGGGAGTGGAGAGACAGTTTCCCCTCATGTTGTAAGTTATCCACGAAAACACAAGTTGGGTTCTTAAAGATGTGCCTCTCCTGGTTAATAGACTTCTACTGCAGCAACCAGCCGGTTCGGATGTTATCAGTCCATTAAATGGATGTTATTAGCGGTCATCAGTCCCATTGAATGGCTTCAGACTGTCCCGACAGTGCCTCCAAGTGGGTTACCAGTGCCATATACGTTGGAATGCAACAATCTGCTACCGCCGGAGTCCGGTCTGCTTTATTGTAGCCCATGTCATTTTCTCTAAAATTAACCTTAGTGGCTTTATGCCTCAGATTAACCAGATTACTTAAAAAAACCTTAGTGGCTTTATACCTCATATTAACCAGCTGACAGTCTGAAGCCATTCTATGGGATGGAGAACTCACTAGGCGGCACAGTCGGGACAGTCTGAAGCCATCCTGAAGCCATTCTATGGGACTGATAATGGCTATTAACGTCCATTTAATAGATGATAACATCCGAAGGGGGTGCAGCAACAGTGTGTTTTGTGTTTGTTTTGGTACAGATGACGGCTGTGAGGAGAGCTTTGTGTATAGAGACTGTATCAGTTGTTGTCCACCCACCTGCACGTTTGAGAAAGAGTGTCTAGGAACCAACCTGCATTGTCTGGACGGCTGCTACTGTCCTGATGGTATTTAAATAATACAAACAAAGCTTGTTGGTCGTTTAGTCCACTGGTTTCATTAAACTCCTCTTTATGCAGGTCTTATCTTACAGAACGGGACTTGCATCCCTGTTTCTCAGTGTCACTGTGTTTATCATGGAACATCATACCTACAAGGACAAGTTCTCCAACAGGGCTGCAGCATCTGGTGAGCAGGAACTTGTGTTTCCTAGCGATCACGTGGCACGTGCACCACTAACTCGCTGCACTTTTCCCCCCTTTCCAGCGCGTGCATGGGAGGAGTGTGGAACTGCACCGAGAACAACTGCACAGGTGAGGCTCCCCCGCCGTGAAACGCACACGGGGCCACAGAAGCTGAAGATGCCAGAACCCGTTTCGTCTCTGCTTCTTCCACAGTCGAGTGTTCGGTGGTAGGAGACGTGTTTGTGACCACGTTCGACGGCAGGATGTTCCTCCAGCCGGGGGCGTGTCAGTACGTGCTGGCGAAGAGCCGTGGCAGCAGCAGATTCACCGTCACGCTGCAGTACACGACCTGCGCAGAGGTAGAACTCCCGGTTGGGCACGCACAAACATGTGTCGTGTGAAACGGGCGTGCGATGTCACCAAAGTGTTGAATTATTTAAAAATCCATCTCGTGGTAATTGCATTACGGAGTTGCGCAGCGGGGTATTTGTTCTCCTGTAACAGAAAAACTCATTTTTGAGACAGGAGCCCAAAGCAATAAACGTCAGAAAGCCTTTCTGTGGAAACTGAAATCTAATATCCTTTCAGGACACATTTCTGAGGAGATGTTTTGTCAGCCTTCAGAGATATTTTGTTCTGTAGCTGTATGTGGCTGACTGGGTTTGTTCTTTCGCTACTTTCATCTAAAAATACTCAGGTGACTTATGATGCCAGATCCTAGCTTTATTTAGTCTTTATTCGCCCGTCCTAAGATAGGGACATATCATAGGATGGCACAGTCCATCCATCTTTCTGTCAGTGGACAGTTTCTTGTTTGAGCTTTAAACTGAGAACTCTTGAACACAGAAGCATCAAACTGCGCAGCTAGACACCTTCAGGGCTAAGGAGGATTGCTATTGATTTCAAGGTCACGATGTCAAAGGTCAAGGTCACAGGTGATCCATCTGTGAAAACTTTGTTGGTGGTCTAACTGCAACCATGCAGGACACCTGGTTAAGAATGATTCCTACTAAATGATTTTGAAATTATTAAATTTTTAGATAAAGGAAATCTACTCAACAAAAAACACACTGAAATCATTCAGATGTAATTAAAAAACTGAACCACTATTATAAAGAGGACACTGCCTTGTGTTTTCATGCTTATTTTTATGCCTTTACGGCATTATGTTGTTTAATTACATGTGTCCACAGCATCAGGCGTGTATTCAGTCAGTAACCGTGGTGTTGGATGAAGATGTGAGTCATCAGATCACCTTGACAAGAGAAGGGGAGGTGATAGTTGGTGTCCACGCCGCTCCTGCGCTCCCTTACGTTGATGGTAGAAACCTAAAATGCTTTAAATCATAAAATAATCCACTTTTTTATTATTTACCTAAAATTCTGCATGCACATGTATGTCCTCATTTACAGATGCTGTTGAGGTGCACAGGCTGACCTCTGTGTTCACACAGCTGAAGACAGGGATCGGTCTGAAGCTGTTTTATGACGGCAGAGGGGGTCGGGTTTACGTGCAGCTGGATGGCTGGTGGCGTGGACAGACATTGGGCCTTTGCGGAACTTTTAATGGAAATCTACGAGACGACTTCCTGTGAGCGAGTTCATCTCGCGTGCAATAAAAAAAAAGGAAGGTGGGGGGTCAAAAAGTTGCTGAGTGCTTTTTTTTGCATTTGTGCAGGTCTCCGGCAGGTATGATAGAGGGCACGCCTCAGCTGCACGCCAACGCTTGGAAGGTGTCGTCTGCGTGTGTTGCTCCCATTAATCTGCCCGTTATAGACCCATGTGAGATGAACCAGAACAACGGTAAGAATTTGACCCACTCTGATCATTTTTTATAGCTCAAACCTCATTAATAGTTATGCATGTGTGCAGTGTTCTATGCATCCCAGTGCGATGTGCTTTTGGGGAGTGTGTTCGCCCCCTGCCATGGCTACATCAGTCCAAACATCTACCAGCAGCAGTGTCGTTACCAGGCCTGTCGCTGCGGAAGCAGCTGCCTGTGCACGGCGCTGGCTCACTACACTTATCTGTGCTCCAAACATGACGTTGAAATTAACTTCCGAGCACACGTCTCTGAATGCGGTGAGTTTCTGTTTTTTTTTTTTTTTTTTGTACTCACAATAAGCGAGCTGTAAATATGTTACGTTTGTGCTGGTTGTGTAGGAGTGGTGTGTCTCGGAGGTATGCTGTACCACTCCTGCGTGTCATCCTGTGGTCGATCCTGCCGTGCTCTGCCTGTCGTCGAGACGTGTGACCCCGAGGACTGCGCGGAGGGGTGTGGTTGTCCTGACGGCGGTTACTATGATGATGTGCGCCAGCGCTGTGTGCAGCTGTAAGACTTTATGGTTTATCCTCACGACCGAGCTGCAAGCGATCTGCCCGTCAACGCAGAAAGCATCAGAATGTCGTTTCTCCTCAGGTCTCAGTGTCATTGTTACTCCATGGGTGGGGTGTCCCAGCCAGGAGAGGTGACCTTCAGTGCGTCTGGACCTTGGTGAGGCACAGCTAACCCTGGCTAGATGTGAAAATCCAAACCTCTTTAACTTGGAAAACACAGTTTACTAAAAGCTTGAGCGGCTGTCAGATGAAACAGAAAGCACTTCAACTGACCCCCGTGTTTGATAACATTATTCTCTTTCACAAACACTTCCTCTCTTCTTTCATGCCTCGTCCACCAGCCTGTGCAGAAATGGGAAGATGGAGTGTGAGCCGGAGGAAAAAGGTAAGCTCTCTGCACTAATCCATGGCCTCTGCCGTTCGTGTTTTACGCGAGCGGTGCCTTGATTTTGCCGAGCGCGTTTGTGTGCCCGATTATGGCAGAGCCCGACAGCGTAGAGGTCGGGGAGTGTCCCGAGGGGAAAGTGTACCACAGCTGCACCGAGCAGAGAGGAGGCGTGGCCTGCGCGCCGACCTGCCGTAACCTGATGTTGAACCTCACCTGCCCACCCAACACGCCGTGCATACCTGGCTGCGTCTGCCCCCCTGGGTAATATAAAGACCTGCTTCTTTCTAAAGAAAAAAAAAAGTCACGACTGACCTGCTGGGCAGCCGTTTCTTTTAATGCATATCTGAGATCTGACAAGAGCTAAAAACAATTGAGAGCTTCAGAAAGGAAATAAAGCAAAATGTGCTGCCGGAGTCCCTTACTAATCTGTGGCGTTTTAAGGATTTAGTCACTTTAGTTTAAACAATATCTATTATTACTTTTAGTCGCAGGGGTCATTTGTCCAAATTATAAGTTTATTGTTGGGATCTTGTGTAGATGTAATTTGTTTGATGGGCTCAGGCAAGAGTTTTTGTCCTCAATTGGATTTCACAAACTTAAAAGGCTTAACCAACTGACATTAATTAAAGCAGTGGCTGCCTGGAAGCTCGAGTTTGTCAGCAATCAATTTTAATTAATGAGCAAAAGCACAGCAAGTGGAATTAATTTAGATGCTTGCAAGTTGTGTATGTCCTAATAAATATTTCATCCATGAAGGCTGGTGCTGCACCAGGGCGACTGCTACTACCCGGAGAACTGCCCCTGCGCTTGGCTGGGACTTGAATACCTGCCTGGGCAAATAGTGGAAACATCTTGCTACAGATGGTAAATATTTTATTTGATTGCATTGTTGTTGTTTTTTTACATTTCAAAGGTCTAAGGCAGTGGTGTCAAACCCATTTTCACAGAGGGCCACAGGAGCATTGTGGTGGCCCTCAAAGGGCCAGCTGTAATTAACATTGACATTTTGTTTAACTTCAACCTAACATGAAATGTCATGTTCCTCATTTCATTGCTACAACTAAGCACTGCTAACAAACAATACTTAAGGTCTATGTGTTTTTTCCTGCATAGAAACAGCATTTTAATATGTCCTCTTTTAAACAGTGAAAACTACTATGTGTACGACTGACTAAATGTGAAATTAACTAGAACTGCAAAGCAGTTATGACCGGGGTCCAAGCCCTTTTATGCATGTCAGCCTATGTCATGTTGTTTGTAGCATATTGTTGATCTTTTAGCTTCTAGGACAAATTTCTCTCCAACAAACGCAGTAAATAAATAAAATTTGAGAAGTTTGAGTATCAGAATTGTTTGTTATATATCACATACTTTATGCTTGTGAGGCAGGGTGAACCCAAATGCAGGCAGGCAGGCAGGCAGGCA